CTTACTGGTGACCTTCATGGTGTCCCACAGGTCTCTTAAACTCAATTAATCTTTCCTTATTCTTTTTCTGCCCTTCAGATCACATAATATCAGTTGTCTTATCTTCAGTTTGCTGATTTTTTTTCTTCTGCCTACTCATATATACTGTTGAACCCCTCTAATCAAATTTTCATTTCAGTTTTCTGTTTAAGCCCCCAAATTTCTGTTTGATGTCTTTTTATAATTTAAATCTATTGATATTTTCTGGTTCATGGGATATGATTCTTGTTATTTCCTTTAGCTCTTTGTTAATAGTCTCCTTTAGATATCTGTGCATATTTAGGGCACTCTATTTAAAGTCTTTGATTAATAATGTAATGTGGTAATTCTAGAAATGTCTCCCCCAACTTCATGGTTTATTGTTGGTTGTGTGGATTGTAGTTATTAACTTAGTGAGTTTTCTAAACTATTTTTACAAAGACTGTATTATTTTGATATGTAATCACTGAAGTCTGTGCTCTGTTGGTTTAGTAGTCAGCCAGCAATTTGACAGATTTCCTTAACTAGAGCACAAAAAAAAAGTATACTCTCTGATTGGCTCTCAGTTGGGCACTCTTTCAATATTTAGCATTAGTCTTCACTTCTCACTTTTGCAGAGCCTAAAGGTCAGCTCAAGGTTAAAGAGTAGGGTCTTCTCAGGTCAGTTTTGAACATTGTCCAACCCTGAGCATGTGAGTGGCCTTCTAGATTCTCCACTATATGTGGAAGTTTTTTAATGCCCTTATTCTTCCTTGTGTTTCTTCTTCACACCTTTTTTCCCCCAGGCTTTTTGTTGTGTCTGCTACTTTTCTCATTGTTATCCTTTGCAGCAGTCAACTGTGGGAAGTGTGTTTGCCTTTAAATGCTTTCAACAAACACTGATTGGGAGGCTGACGCTGCTCTGAGAAAGTTCAGAGGGGTGTGAAACAATGTGAAGTCCTTGAGCCACTTCCTCCAGAATCCCTCAAGGAGCCATCAGGCAGATCAGAAGAGTCAAGCACAGTTCTTTAAGAGTCAAGTCTGTATTGCACCCTCTGGTAACAGCAAGCCATATCAGGAAGGTAGACACCATCCCCATGGTTGGCACCGAGCTGGGGAGTCAGTTATGGTAGGCAGTTAAGAAAAAAACACCATAATGTTGTTTTACTGAAAGTTGTCAGCTTTTTTTCTTTATTTAAGCATTTCCCTGGTGCTTATAAGTGTTAAAAATAACATTCCAGACCTCCAAAAAATCAGCTGATTCTGACAGCTTGAACCAATCAAGCTTATAGTTGTCAGTTTACTCATTGTTTAGTAGAATACAGTTTTGGAGTTCTCTGCCTAAAAGAAACATTTTAACAGTTTACCATATATATGTATGTATGTACATACATATATATGTATGTATGTACATATATATGGTCTTGGTCCCCTTTTCTGGCACATAGATTTTAAAATCTTTGAAATTTTTGAAGTGTTGAGAACAGCAGAGGTGTCTTTTGTTACATATTGAGGTGGCTTTGGGAAAGCACCTAAGGATGGGGGATGGTTGCCGCAGGAGCCAGCCATGTGATTAGAAGATTGGAACTCTCAGTCTCACTCCCTTGACCTCCAGCATCCAGGAGAAGGCCTGGAGGTTGAATCAGTCATCCATTGATACTGATGATTTAATCACTTGTGCCTATTTAATGTGTGAAGCCTCCATAAAAATCCAAAAGGATGGATTAGGATTACTTCCAGTTTGGTGAACATCTGAATATTTGGGGAGAGTGGTGGAATGGGAGAGGACAAGGAAGCACCATGCCTTTGTGCTATACCTTATTTTATGCATCTTTCCATCTGGCAGTTCCTGTGTTGTATTGTTTAGAAATAAACTAATGGTCTGGTAAGTAACATGTTTCTCTGAGTTGTGTGAGCTGCTCTAGCAGATTAATTGAGCCTAAGGAAGTTGTCCTTGGAGCCTCTGATCTATAATCAGTCAGCAGAAGCAAAGGTAATAATCTGGGCTTGTGACTGGCATCTGAAGTCAGGGTAGGGGGAATGGCCCTGTAGGACTGAATCCTTAAACTATGGAATCTGATGCTATCTTGGGATAAATAGTGTCAAAATTGAGTGACACCCAGCTAATGTCCTGGAGACTTGCTTGGTGGTATGGGGAACCCCCCCCACACACACACATCCACTTTAAAATTGGGGTCCACAACAAGTTTTTAGGGTATAAGGTGACTGGAAGCTTTTAAAGTATATAGATATATAATTATCAGGTTAAAAAGATTCTGTTCATTTACTGTTTAAGAATTTTATCTGAGCTAAGGATATTGAGTTGTATTTAACATTTTAATTTGCATTTATTTAGATGGTAAAAATATATTTCTTCTTAATGTGCATTATATAAGCTGATTTTTAAATGCTATACCAATCTCATTCCTTTTTTTTTCAATATATGAAATTTATTGTCAAATTGGTTTCCATACAACACCCAGTGCTCATCCCAAAAGGTGCCCTCCTCAATACCCATACCAATCTCCTATTCTTAGAATAAATTTGTCAAGACATGTTTTCCTTTGTATACAGGCTGGATTCATTTTGCTAATATTTAGTTTAAAATTTTTACCTATATGTTCAGTAGTGAAATTGCTCTATAATTTCCTTTTTTGTACTGCCTTTGTTTGATTTTGATATCAAGTTATGGTAGTTTTATAAAAGTACTTAGGAAGGATATCCTCTTTTTCTGTATCTCTATCTCTCTGGAAATTTCAGTGCAGTGTCCTAATCATTTCCTCTTTGAATATCTGCTAGAAGTTGCTGAAAAAGCACTGAGAAGGATTTTAATTATTGATTCAATTTCTTTAATGACTGTAGGACATTCAGGTTTTCTAGTTCTTTCAATTTTGGTAAGTTCTGTTTTCTTTATACTTTTAGTTTTGAAATTTATTGGTGCAATATCATTAATTTCATATGTGTTTCTTCTGTTTTTAATGTCTGTAAGTATCTGTCATGATATATCCTTTTTTACTCTTTGTACTGGTAATTTGTGCCTTCTGTCTTTTTTCTTGATCAGTTTCATAACAGGTTAGTTAGCATTATTAGTCTCTACAAAGATTCAGCTTTTGGCTTTGTTGGTTGTCTTACCTATAGTTTTGTTCTAATTTCTGCTTTTATCTTTACCCTTATGTTCCATAAACTTTGTGTTTATTGCCATTTTTTAAAGCTTTTGGTAGTGAATATTTGTCTTATTTCTTTCAATAAATGAATTTAAGGCTAGCCATTTCCCTCTTAGTACTGGTTTGCATGACACAAATTTTGATAAGTAAGCTTTTTTTGGTTGTTACTTCATTTTTTTAATATTTTTTTAGTGTTTATTTTTTGAGAGAGAGAAAATGAGCAGGGGAGAGGCAGGGAGAGGGAGACACAGAATCCCAAGTAGGCTCCAGGCTCTGAGCTGTCACCACAGAGCCTGATATGGAACTTGAACTCACAAGATTATGACCTGAGCAGCTGCAGTCGGAGGCTTAACCAACTGAGCCACCCAGGCACCCCTGAGCTATTACTTTAAAATGTTTTATAATTTTCCTTGTAATTTCCTTCTTTAATTGAGAATTATTCAAAGATGTGTGTCTTAATTTCTCAACATACTGGATTTTTTAGTCATCTTCTGGTTATTGATTCCCAACTTAATTTAAATCCTTTAAAATTTGTTAGGATTTATTTTATGACCTAGTTAATGTCTGTTTTTTTTTTTAATTAATATTCCAAGTCTGTTTGAAAAAATATATATGATGAGGTTGTTTGGGGTAGTTGACATGTATTTTCATTTAGACCAAGTTTGTTAATCTGGAGAAAGATGGTTAACGTTTCTACTATGGTTGTAAATTTGCATATTTATTCTAGAATCTGTTACTTTTTGCCATATGTACTTTGATTCTTTTTTATCAGGTGCATCTGATATATTGCCTTTATTATCCCTTATTTGTCCCCTCTCATTCTCTTTATAATTTTAATTTTAGAAAATAACAGACATGTACATAAGATGTACATGTACATAAGACATGTACATAAAGATGAGTACATAAAACATAATTGTTCTAGTTGGTGAATATGGTATGTGGAGTGAGGTAAAGAAGAAAAGCAAGAATCATTCCTAATAGTGGGATAATATGTTGTATTTCATAATATCCAATTTTTATTTAGATGCTAAATTTTGCTTCCCAATGACGTTAATTGGTTTCTTAACAGGGATTTTCTTTTTGGTGTTTTATCAGAGTCACATTTTTGGAACTCTTCATATTCTAAACCATATCTGGCTTTTTAAGACCAACTTTGTATTTCTGTTTATTCAAGTATACTTCTTTTCCCCCAGTATTATGACATAGACTGAATCTCATAGTGTCTGGAAATAGAATCTAGATATTTTCTGATACTATAATAACAGTATTTACATTTATAATTTTTTTATGCTGAGTGATAATAAATATGTAAAATTTCTATTAAGAGCTATAATATTTATAGTTACTACATATAGAATGACAAATTCCAGGGGCGCCTGGGTGGCGCAGTCAGTTAAGCGTCCGACTTCAGCCAGGTCACGATCTCGCGGTCTGTGAGTTCGAGCCCCGCGTCAGGCTCTGGGCTGATGGCTCAGAGCCTGGAGCCTGTTTCCGATTCTGTGTCTCCCTCTCTCTCTGCCCCTCCCCCGTTCATGCTCTGTCTCTCTCTGTCCCAAAAATAAATAAACGTTGAAAAAAAAATTAAAAAAAAGAATGACAAATTCCAGAAAAATCAGTTATTAAATGTTTAATTTCAGACTTTTATTCATTCAAAAAATACTTTTGAGCACTTAGGAAGTGTCAAGTATTATATAATGTGCTGAGGAAGCAATGGTGAACAAAACAAATTTTTATTCTCAATGTGTTTATTTTATTACATACATCCTACAAAATATTTGTAGTTGAGGCTTTTGCATATTGCTTAAATTGACCTTATAATTTCCTTTTTATTTCTAGTACATTTTGCTGTTTCTGTTGGAGGTTTCATTTATCTCGTTACCTACTTTCCAGTTGTTACTGTCTCTATAAACTTTGCAGAAATGACATTCACCCAGAAGCTGGCTTCCTGTCTCAGCTCAAATATCGCAATGGGGCTGGGAACTAAATTCCTAGTCAAGGCAGAAATGGAGAGTGAGTATTTACCTTGTAAATTTGGCCATATTCTCATAAGATATTCACAGTTTTAAAGTTGATTAATATTGTTAAACTGTCCTTCAAAAAATGATACTACTTCATACCACCACCTGTAGCACGTGAGTTCCTCCACATTCTCTGCATAAATTTATTCAAGTCTGCTACTCCATTTGGAGTTCCTGGCTGTTCTTTGATGCTAGGAGAGGAAGCAGCACAGGTCTGCTTTTAGCACCTTTCAGTCTTCCTTTTTTCATCAGTGCAATATCTATGCAAAAATTCTTCTAGTCTTCTCTTCTGTAGATAGCATTTATTTCTGCTTTTCAATGATTATGTTTTCCAAAATTATATTTTCCAGTGAACATTTAGCATGAGGAGGGATTGAGAGAAAGGGGTCAGTGTCTTAACCCATAGGGGCTTCCTTATTTTTCTTAAAGCTTATATTCCTGAGTTTTTAGTATATGTATTTTGTTTTGGTTTCACTCATAACTGATTGTTCCTGGCAAACTAGAAAACATCTTAAATGATTACTTTCTCAAATATCCTAAATTCTAGTGGTATTAGAAAGTGACTATAGTAGGAATTTCTAGAAAATATTAACACCTTTTCTCTTCACTCTTTAATTATGATGCAGATGGATAACTGTTTTAGTGTCGGTTGGCACCTAAATTAAATGTCAACTGTTGTCTCTTAGAAATTGGAATTAAATGGAGCAACATCTTCTCACCACCCCAAATGGAGAACTTTGGCTTTGCCCACGTACTGGGAATGTTTTTATTTGATGCTTTCTTATATGGCCTTGTGGCCTGGTATATAGAAGCTGTCTTTCCAGGGGAGTATGGTGTGCCCAAGCCATGGAACTTTTTCTTGCTGGTGAGTTCTAATGCTTGTGTTACTGAGAAAGGCCACAGTCCTTATGAATATGTATTGTAATTTCTGTAAAAGCCACCATGAGTTAATTTTGCACTGTGTATACTTGAACCAATAGATCAGGTGAAAGAATCATTCTACTTACTCCAGCCATTCACTGGCCTTTTCTTATTACACTTTAAAGCATCCAGTATATATAAATAATCTGTAGATCATGGGCTATTACCTCAAACTTTACAAACTCTGAGTAATCCATCACATTTACAGGCAAGTATTTCATAAAGGATTAAACTCGGGCATAAAGAAAGTAATATAGGATGGGTCTTTGGGTGGTAAAAAAAAAAAAAAAGTTAAGTCCCCCATCTGGGGACTGCTTTTTATCCTTGGTTAGCACAGATCTCTTGGAGTCAGAACTATAGCATGATGGCTCATTCTTTTTCTTGATTCCTTTCCTTATCTGCTAAGAGAAGATATGACAAAAAATGATACAATCATTTTTGCCATGACCTCATTTTGGAGTAATTTTCTTTTGTCCCTCTTGGACACTTATAATTTTCATAGAGTAGTCTGCTTTTATGCCCGGGAATGCAAATTATAACCAATTAGCTCCAAAATTTAATCACAAAAAAATTTCAGCAATCCATCTCAGTACAAAAGATAACAGGCTAGAGTATTTTATAATGAATCCTTTTTCAATACCATTGCAGTAATGTCACATTCATTCCCCTTTTTTTTTTTTTTTTTTTTTTTTTTTTAGCGCTCTTACTGGTTTGGGGAAGCATCTAAGGGAAAAAAGGAAAGAAGGCAATTTTATGAGACAAATGAAAGCAAGTATTTTGAAGCAGAACCTACTAATTTGGTGGCAGGTATCCAAATCAAACATTTGTGCAAGGTATTGTTTCAAATTTTTTCTTCTTGATAGGACTGAAATTTAGTTTAGTGTTCACTGTAAATGATTATTACTAGAAATACAAGAAAAAGATCACATGCTAATAAAAGATAACAGCCATCCTTTTGATCTTTGAGAAAGATTAAAAAAATCATTTTTTTTCAGTATATACTAAAAAGTCAAATCTTTTTCTCCTTCCCACAGAATAGAGTCAGGTTTTCTATAAGCTATATGGTATCTTCCAAAAATTCTCTCATTTTAAAAAGTAGAGTCTATTGGAGATGAATGATTTCAGTGTGTAAGCATTAATTTCTGTTCACAAATACTTTGCATTTATCTATTATGTAATCTTTCCCCTGTCAAGGCGTTCATCAAGGGAGGGCTTTTAATCTCTTAATTTATCTGCACCAACTGTAGGCATGTAGTATTCAGGTAACCTGTATTGGCTGGCATTCCGTTGCCTCTCAAAGGTCTACCTAAGCTTGGTTTGAACTCTTAACCCCACAGCCTATGGAAACCCAAAGCCCTCCATGCTAATTCAGCTAATTTTGGAGATGAGTATACTCTTGTTGTACCCTTTGCCTCCAGTATGCTATATGCTTTCTCTGTTTTGGTTACATCAACCCAAATGCAAAACTCACTCTTTTCCCTGGTTTTCTCAGGAAATGTAGTCACATCCAACATTTTTGTGGATATCAGTATAGATTAGGCCTGGAGGGTGTTGGCCTAAGGAACACATGGTCTGTGACCATTTCCCCAGCTGTAGTTACCTTGGCCACCCTTATTTCTCTCTTCATAATTTTCCTACCAGATTTTCCCTGAGAAGCCACTCTGATGTGACTCCCTCAGATTCTCATGAAAATGCCCAGAAGAACCAAGGTCCTTCTATGTATCACTCCATTCATTCATTCATTCATTCATTCATTATTGACACTGGGGATATAAGTGATAAAAAATCCAGATTAGACCCATGCTCTCAAGGAGCTTACATTCTAGTATGAATGAAAGTGGGTTGAGAAGTGAACAAACAGGGTAATTACAGCATACAGTCAATGCCATTGGGAAAACAAATAGGGTGATGATACAGTAATTTAAGAATAAGTGGGGGAGGAAAAACACTTTGGGTAAGTTATTCATTTGAACTCTCTGAAAACATGGCCACTGTGGATACTGGCCACCCTCTCCAACCATAACCTCACCTGAACAGAGCCACCTCACACAGAATCAAATGCATTTCCTTGAGGAGTTGGCCCAACTATTCTCTCTCCCAAACCTTCTTGTCTTCACTCAGATGTTGATCTCAGGAACACTCCTCCATGCTAATTTCCATCTTTTGTAAACTTCCTGGATACTAACTTCTGTCTTAGAGTGTACTTCCCACTGGGAATGTAAGTTCCCAGGGAACTTAATTAGGGATAGTTGGTACCTGAGTGGACTGAGAAAGCAGATGATGAGATACAAGGTAGCAGTGCAGTGTCCATAGGTGTTGAACTGGGATGTATTCCAGGGAAAGAAATCCATTAGTTGGTGTCATGTATCAAGCGTGTGAAAAATATGGGTGAAGTAATTATAGGTACCATGGGATGGGTGGCTATTTTGGGGGGAACTGATAGACTGGAGACAGAAAATTAAAGGCTGTCTATGATTAACCATCAGAGGCTAAATGAAATCTAGTCAGTCTTCCAGGAAGCACATGAAGAGATTTTCATTTCCAGCACCCAAGAGTAGAAAAGCTGAGAACTAAGCCATAGACTTAATCATAAGAATAGCAAGCTTTAGAAAAAGTTAAAATTGTAATTTAGGAAAGTCTACTCTCCCAGGATTAAGGCATTGATTTGGAGAGAATGGACTATGGAGACATAGGATAGGAAATCTAGGATGCAAAAATCTCAAGTCCCATTTTCTCCTGAACCCTTTGCCTGCAGAAATGATTCACTCCTCCCTGTTCACGGCTAGGATTTCTTTCTCTCTTCCTTGAAGATCCACCCCACAAGACAATTCCTTCTAGCCACTAGGAAAATAACATAGATTATATCACAAAAGGTAGTAGACAGCCTCAAAGATGATCCTCAGTGACACACATCTCCTGATTTTCATGCCTTTGAATAGGCCTGACCTGTATGAGCAGTCAAGAACTACAGAAGTGAAATGACTGCTTTCTAAGACTAAGTCATAAAATGCATTGAGGCTTCACTTTGGTCTCTTGGGTTGTTTACTCTGGCTAAGTCAACTGCCATGCTGTGAGTATACTCAGTCGCCTAAATGACTGAAGAGAGGCTCACATGGGATTAACTGAGTCCTTCCTCCAACAACCAGAACAAACTTGCCAGCCAGTTGAGTGAGTCACTTTCTTTTTTTTTTTTTTTTTTTTTTTGGATGTGAAGTCATTTTATTTTTTTTATTTTATTTTTTTTATTTATATATGAAATTTATTGTCAAATTGGTTTCCATACAACACCCAGTGCTCATCCCAAAAGGTGCCCTCCTCAATACCCATCACCCACCCTCTCCTCCCTCCCACCCCCCATCAACCCTTAGTTTGTTCTCAGTTCTCAACAGTCTCTTA